TTACACCACTGTTTTTCATGTTCACGCTCATTGTGAAACGGGCGACTCCAGGTAACTCCTAAAAGGGCTGCTCTCACCTTTTATATGTGATTGCTGCGGAAGGCCCGCACCAAAAGTTGTCTAGTTTTGCTTTCTTACTTTCAAATTATTTTTATTGCGGCGCGAGTGCAGCTTTTCTCTCTCCAATAATTCTTGGGGGTACCCACAATAAGTAGTGCCATTACCTAACTTCATCAAAATTGGTATTTGGTGGCCATCTTTTGGGATAAATTGACAATTTATACCGACACTTTAAGTTTGATCTCTCAAGACCACAATCAATGTACATGAAATATAGTCACGATGGACATTTGGATGATCAATTAATTTTCTGAAGACGCAGTGTTTCGATTCCAAATTGGAGTTATCTTCAGGGATAAATTGACAATTTATACTGACACTGCTCAAGACTGGGTCAGAAAATGACTCCAGTATGGAAAACTTGCAAACCACTCCCAACTGGATAGACCCAGAGCTGGCTCATTTTATCTATGTGAAAAGGGTAAAAAGGTTTGACCCCTACAACTCAAGCTATTCTACGTGATATATATAAATCACTATTGCTGGCTGCTGGACTCCTGTACGTTTGACCCTGGCACCCTTTTCAAAGGGTCCCAAAAGAGGTTTTATTTATGTGAACGCCGACAATGAAATCAACTACATGGGCTTGTAGGGTGATGATGCGGCATCATAAATTTGTCAACGCCAGCAACTTCAGCTTGAACCCTTGCAGGGACAGTGAGCCTTTAAGGAGAAAAAAAGCCAAATATTTATGTGAAGGCCGATATACTCGCGATTTACCTGTTCTTGAAGCTAGAAGAGCCCGCTACTTGAAAACCGAAGTGCCAGCAAGTTTTGAGTGTACCAAACCCTTGCCAGCAAGACCCTTTTTAAGGGGTGAAAAAATCAAAATATTCATGCAAAGGTCAATATACACGCGATTTGCCTTTTCTTGAAGCTGTCAGGGTCCGCTTTTCGAAAACTGAAGTGCCAGCAAGTTTTGAATCTACCAATCCCTTGCCAGCAAGACCCTTCTTTTTAAAAGGGTAACCAATTTCAACTCGGTCATCACATAAAAAGTAACAATATCCAAATTAATTTTCAGTCAGTACCGTATTTAGAACATAAAATGCCTTTATTTTTATATTAATGACATTACAGAGATGGAAAAATAAGAACAAAATATCATAATAGGGAGCCTTAAAACATTGGAACATCAAGAAACAGAAATTTTACGTCCCACAATTTCTGATATACACGGTTGTCGGTGATTGTACCTGGTGACTGACGATAGAAAAAAGAACAGACGACGTACACAGGTCCCAGAATAGTTGAGTGGCATGACTGGCCATTCAAGTACCTTACTTACAACCTCAATTCCGAAATAGTTGGGACAAAGAGTAAATTGTGAATAAAATCAAAATGCAATGACTTTCAGATCACATGAGCCAGTATGTTATTTACAATATAACATAGATAACATTTCAAATGTTGAAACTGAGACATTTTACATTTTTATCCAAAAAGTGAGCTCATTTCAAATTTTCTGGCTGCAACACGTCTCAAAATAGTTGGGACACAAGCAAAAAAGGGCTGAAAAAGCAATTAATATATAAGAGAATCAGCTGAAAGAACATTTAGCAAGTAATTAAGTTAACTGGCATCAGGTGTGTAACATGATTGGCTATAAAAAGGATGCCTTAGACAGGCTGGGTCTATCAGAAGTAAAGATGGCCAGAGGCTCTCCAACCTGTGAAGGCTTGCGTAAAAAAATCGTGGAATACTTTAAAAACAATATCCCTCAATGTCAAATTACAAAGGCTTTGAAGGTCTCATCATCAACAGTGCATAACATCATCAAAAGATTCAGAGAAACTGGAAAAATCTCTGTGCGTACGGGACAAGGCCGAAGACCTTTACTGGACGCCCGTGATCTTCGGGCCCTCAGACATCACTGCATCACTCACCGGCATGATTCTGTCATTGACATTACTACATGGGCCCAGGAATACGTCAAGAAACCACTGTCTGTAAACACAGTCCGCTGTGCCATCTACAGATGCTACCTAAAACTCTATCACACAAAAAGGAAGCCATTATTGAGCATGATCCAGAAGCACCGCCGTGTTCTGTGGGCCAAAGCTCATTTAAAATGGACTGTAGCAAAGTGGCAAAGTGTCCTGTGGTCAGACGAGTCCAAATTTGACATTCTTGTCGGAAATCATGGGCGTCGTGTCCTCCTGGCTAAAGAGGAGAAAGACCATCCCTCCTGGAATCAGCGTTCAGTTCAAAAGCCAGCATCTCTGATGGTATGGGGATGCATTAGTGCATATGGTGTGGGACACTTGCATGTTTTAAAAAGCACCATGAATGCTGAAAGGTATATAAAGGTTTTCGAGCAACATATGCTCCCCTCCAGACAACATCTATTCCAGGGAAGGCCTTGTGTATTTCAGCAGGACAATGCAAAACCACATACTGCAGCTATTACAACAGCATGGCTTTGTAGTAGAAGAGTCCGTGTGCTGAACTGGTCTGCCTGCAGTCCTGATCTTTCACCGATTGAGAACATTTGGCACATAATTAAACGAAAAGTCCGTCAAAGGAGACCCAAAACTCTCCAGCAGCTGGAAGCCTGTATTAAACAAGAGTGGGATCAAATTCCAATGGCTAAACTCAAGAAACTTGTCTCTTCAATGCCCAGACGCCTCCACTCTGTGTTAAAAAGAAGAGGGGATGCTACATTATGGTAAACAGGCCCCTGTCCCAACTTTTATGAGACCTGTGGCGGCCATCAAATTTGAACTGAGCTCATTTTGTGGATAAAATTGTAAAATGTCTCAGTTGAAACATTTGCTATGTTATCTCTGTTCTATTGTGAATAAAATATTAGCTGGTGTGATTTGAAAGTCATAGCATTTTGATTTTATTCACAATTTACACTTTGTCCCAACTATTTCGGAATTGGGGTTGTACATGTAACAGGACAGTCACCAAAATAATGGTTGCTCCTGACAGGGCTTGCCTTTGATTATTGCAATCATTTACATGTTCTCCTCAGTCTCGCTGTCATCACCGTCCCCGCAACAGAGTGCTCACTCAGAGTGGGGTGGGTGTTGGGTAATGCTCACTCAGAGTGGGATGGGTGTTGGGTAATGCTCACTCAGAGTGGGGTGGGTGTTGGGTAATGCTCACTCAGAGTGGGGTGGGTGTTGGGTAATGCTCACTCAGAGTGGGGTGGGTGTTGGGTAATGCTCACTCAGAGTGGGATGGGTGTTGGGTAATGCTCACTCAGAGTGGGGTGGGTGTTGGGTAATGCTCACTCAGAGTGGGGTGGGTGTTGGGTAATGCTCACTCAGAGCGGGGTGGGTGTTGGGTAATGCTCGCTCAGAGTGGGGTGGGTGTTGGGTAATGCTCGCTCAGAGTGGGGTGGGTGTTGGGTAAGCACAAGAAGCCATTCTCTGATGCAGAAATAATAAAAGAATGTATGACTGAAGTGATGAATTTTGCCTCCTTTCTTGTGTCCTTTGCGTCTGTATTTGAAAAGAAAAGTGTTACTTACCCCCCTCCTGATATATTTGTTTTGGATTCTTTGCAGGGGTGCGTTTTGTTTTAAGTATTTATTCATTAATTATTTGAATTTATGTTTAAAAGAAAAAGAACAATTTTTTCGTATTTTTATTTATTTATTTATTTTTTGTTCAAAGCAAAAGGACATTTTATTTTTTCAGTATGTATTTTTTGTTGTTTTTATGAAAAGGACATGTTGTTTTCTTTAACCCTTTCATGCATGGAGGTCACTACAGTGTACAGCTGTTCAAAAGTGTTTTTTCTCTATATATACCTGCAATTTTGGGCACTGCTGCATATAGTCCACTCTAGTGGAAGCTATTGCATCATCCCATACAAAAAAATCCCATTGGCAGGTCATTGCAATGGGAAAAAGTAGTCATTTACAGAATAAAGATAGAAATTTTTTTTTCCAAACCTTGTTTTACATCCCTAAGGATGTATAAAACCACTTAGTAAAAAAATCCTGACTGAGTTCATCATAATTCATGCATGAGAGGGTTAACCACAACACAGTACCTCCTGATATATTTATTTACCTGAGGAAGTTTGGAGGGGAATATGTGTTAAAATTAAAAGTACATTTTATAGTTGAGTCATGCATTTTATTTTTCTACTGTACACTACAGTATTGTTAAGTTGGTTGGTTGGTGGGCGATACTTTGATTTGTCGTGGCTTGACCGACTAATAAACGGACCTTTGACTCATTGAAAAATTTCTTTGTGGAACTTTAAGATTTGTATTTGAGGACCCCTGGTCTACACTGTATTCAAAGGCTGTTCCGAACAAGGTGAAACCATACCTGTCGTAACTCGTAAGTGGGTCTTGCTGGCAAGGGTTTGGTACACTCGAAACCTGCTGGCACTTTGGTTTTCGAATAGCGGACCCTTCCAGCTTCAAGAAAAGGTAAATCGCGAGTATATCGGCCTTCACATGAATATTTTGATTTTTTCACCCCTTGAAAAGGGTGTTGCTGGCAAGGGTTTGGTACACTCAAAACCTGCTGGCACTTCGGTTTTCAAGTAGCGGGCTCTTCTAGCTTCAAGAACAGGTAAACCACGTGTTTGTCGGCCTTCACATAAATATTTGGCTTATTTTACCCCTTAAAGGCTCACTGTCCCTGCAAGGGTTCAAGCTGAAGTTGCAAGCATTGACAAATTCATGATGCCGCATCATCACCCTACAAGCCCATGTAGTTGATTTCATTGTCAGCGTTCACATAAATAAAACCTCTTTTGGGACCCTTTAAAAAGGGTGCCAGGGTCAAACGTACAGGAGTCCAGCAGCCAGCAATGGTGATTTATATATATCACGTAGAATAGCTTGACTTGTAGGGGTAAAACCTTTTTACCGTTTTCACATAAATAAAATGAGCCAGCTCCGGGTCTAGGACTTGGTGGCTCAGTTGGTAGTGTGGTGGGATGGAATTTCCTGAATTGTGAGTTTGATCCTCACCTGGGTTCAGATTTTCTGGCCCATTCTTGAGCAGTGTCAGTATACATTGTCAATATTTGATGGGCCAGTGGTGATTGTAGACAGCCTTCAATATCGCACTGGTTTAGAAATATTAGAGATATTGAGGTTTAAATATAGAATCTCTATTTTCTCACGGGAGAGCTGACCAACAAAAATATAGACTGTGTACTACCACACTCAGTGTAGTATATGGTATGTGGACAGATGTAGAGCCATACTGGAACAATGCTCACTGACTGCACTGAAGTTTAACATGGTAGAGCTCACTTCGTGTTTTAGTCTTATTTTTCCACCAACATTATATTTTTCCACTCACAAGAAGAAATGTGTTTGTTTTCATTTGCTTTGTGCTTCGCAGCTGAAATTTTCTTACCCAGTTGGCAATTCTTGAAATAAGAAGGCCTAAAGCAATCTCCCCTTAATGGCTGATTTGTTTTATTGGGTAAAAAAAATTCACAATAAGATTTTAAATCTAAATATAACAATATTGATAACAATATGACAGTTGAAGAGCCTATTGCTAAAAGTGCTTAAGTCACATTTTCACACATCGAGAGGTGTGGATGGAAAAATGTCTTTTATGGTCTTCTAAGTCAATTTTCTCAAAATGGACATTTTGTGACTTAGGTTCTTTAGCATCGGGGTCTTCAATTGTTGAGATTGATTTTTTTTTTTTTTTTTTTTTCCCCAGTGTGTGACACATACTCCAATTTGTTGGGCATTAAATCCCAGTAAGCAGTTTTAATGCACTACCAGATGCTCTGTCTCATCTGACCCTGTCTGCTGTGTTAAGCATTGAGGTTATGGTCTGTTTTACTCAAATCCTTCATTCGCCTGACGCTGAAGTGCCCCTCTCCCTCCCCTTCCTGTTCTGCGGTTGACATGGGTCACAGTCCCCCCCCGGTTTCAAGCACGTTCCTTCGCTCAGGCTAACGCACTGTCTTTGGAGCGTCTTATGTGTTTGTGCACCCATCCATGCCTAAGTATGCCCCTACGAGGGTCTGCTGCATACCATTGCATTTCTGTACGTGTGTGCATCCGTGCTGAAGGAGATGGTGGTGTGGGGTGCATTCCCTTGGATCCTATGCGATCAGGACCAAGATAAACACTGGTCTCCATGTGCAAATCAACAGTGTGTGACTTCTTCAGTGGATGAGCATTTCGGAAGTCCAGAAACTATGTTGACTTTACTCAGCAGCGTCCTGTGGTACCGCTAGTTTGAGAGCGTGTTAAAACTTATAGGGCTGGTTTCACAGACACAAATTTTGCTTTGTCTTGGACAAGATTTAGCTCTGCAAAGTCAATTTCATTTCAAAATTGAACTTGGTTTAGGTCTAGGTTCAATCTTTGTCTGAAAAATAGGCTTCCCATTACATACATTTTACAGGCCCACTTTCATCCACTCATTTGTCTGAGTATGACAACCTTCTTCTAGGCATGATGATTTAACTCGTCTGAGCAAGGAAATAGGCACGTAGTTGCTGAAGTGGCAACTTGCTCAAATATGAAAAATGTTTTTGCTCTTTTGAAAACAGGGGCCAATTCAAGTAAGCATTCGAACTGAACCAGGGTCTTCCCATTGCATTTAACCCTCTGTATATGACCCACAGGAAGAGGAACAAATGAAAATGACATACAAAAGCAATCTGAAGGCCCACTGAAATACAAAGGGCATGGGGGATATCAGGCCTCTTCCTCCCACTTTTTTGGACCGAGTGGCTGTTAATGTCGTTGTCTTTCTTTTGGTCACGTTCCTGGAAGAGATGTGGTCTCTGCAATAATTGATAGTGAGGTAGAGGCTTGTGCGGCTAACTGGGGGAAGTGCCACACGGGTTGGAACCTGAGCGATAAACTGACGCAGACATACACCCTAGCCAAGACAGACCTAAATTATGGACCCTGCTAAGATAGTCAGGTACGGCAGCCTGCATTCGAAAAATGATTTATGCATAACTCTATTTATTATACCTTAACATTTAAACTTATGTGCTGCCAGCCTTATCTCGAATGAATGTTTGTACTGACGTACTGCTTTTCGCTCAAACAAATTAAATGTGCAGGTACTACGTAAATGCATACATAAATCTACTGGCAGGGGGTATGTATACACTGGTCTATACATGCAAATCATCCTGCTGTTTGCTCTCACTGGGCCACACATGCATTTGCTCGCAAACAAACTGGGTGAAGCCAGAACTGAAAGGAGAGGAGAAAAAGGGGCAAAGTCTACATTCTCTTTGCAGTGGCCGTGTGCCAAAGACTGGACTCAAACGTCTGCGAGTGCGCACTGACAAAAGCATGTCAATCACTGCGCGCAAGCATTGCACTTAAAACAAGGTTATGTCACCCTTCACTGATTTGTAACGTAAGGGAAAATAGGACTGCCTGCCCCAAGTCTGCTCAAATGTACAATGATGAAAGTAGAGTTGTCAGATGTCCATTTTTCACGTCTGCATTTTTTTTTTTGTTGCGTGTGTACTGTTTATCTTTGCGAGGAAACTGGACTGAAATCAAGTAGTGCTGAACTAGTTTAGCAGGAAAGTATTGGCTGTTCTCATTTTAAAAATAACTTGCTTTGTCATTGCTCCCCTTTACGGCTGTTAAACTCTCTTCATGCAATCATGCATCTCCTTTTCGCCCTGCTGCTAGCTACCGAGATTATGCATTATAATCATTCAAATCTGTTTATTTCAAAACTCATTTGAATTCAGCGTACCCTTGGACCATTAAGCCATCTCTTTTGTTTTCTCTCATTTTCAGTCAATCTCTATCAGTTGCTGCAGACTATCTCATCCGCTAATTACTGTTTCCATAACAGCCCCTCGAACGGGCGGATCTGATTTATATCAGGGCCCTGTGAGAAATCACTTGCAACAGATTTCTTCATTTTATGACCACTGCCCATTATTTTGTGGTTATAATGCCTACAATTGATTCTGAGCTTCACTGTCCACGTTATTAGGGTTCTTTCTCTCATTAGCAAGTCAAGTGGCAGCATGGTCACGACCCTGCAGCTCAATTCTGATGGCTTCTATTTTGTTCGTCACACTGAAGTTGATGCTACTGCATGAAATGTGTTCTCTGTCCCTCTCCTTCCCCTCACCGTACTTGACATTTCCACGGTGTCCTATTCTGTTACAGCTGGCGCACTGGCAACCTGCCGAAAATCACAGATCCAGAGAAGGTACCAGTCCCAGAGTCAGCAGTACCGTGTGTGTATGTGCTGAATTGGGCGAATGTGAACAAGCACCTGTGTATTGTAAGCAGTGGGAAAGCATGTATGCGTCTGTGTGTGCGTACGCTCTGAGTGGAATCTGTGCCTGCCTGTGTAGAAAAGAGAGTGTTCCCTCTGTTGGATTCTGGATTAGGCTGTTGAACAAAAGGGTCACGGGAGCCACTACAAGACGAGAAATCTGATCTACTGCATTAAACTGGGCAAGGAGGAAAAAGCAGAGAGATGGTATCTGGTACTGAACACAGTATATACTACCTGCTTTAGCAGCACTGGAGAAAAACTGGTCTCTGAAAATTTTGTACCCTGGCCGCAACTATGTGTTACGGTATCTGAAGATAATTTGGTATGGATGTGATTCCTTTTTAGCAGTCAATTAACATCATTAATATTCAAAATACTGATTTTAAAACATCAAAAACTCATAATAAGAGTAGAATAGTTGTGTTCAGTGCCCTTTAGGATTTTCTTGGTTGTCTCAGATGCCCAGTCATTGAGTACTACTTTGTGACAGGTGTATGAATTCATTCCCCAACCCTGCACCCATAATTAATATTTCTGGATCTTTCTTTTCTGGGCGATGTTCACATTGTGATTGAGAGAGTGAGGAAGTGATCCTTGGATGAGCTAAGCTCACTGATTGGGTGATTTGTTTGAGCGACTGTGATGTAGTACCTCTACCTTTCAGTGCTGAAATGGCTGGAGGTGTACAGTAAGAGTGGCTGCCAGCCGCGGGAGACCCTGGTGGAGGTGTGGAGGGAGTTTCCCAGGGAGACGCAGCACCTTTTCCTACCTTCCTGCGTGGCCCTGCGCCGCTGCGGAGGGTGCTGCTCCGACGAAGCCCTTGAATGTGTGCCCTCACACACCTACACGCTCACTGTGGAGGTGCGCATGCACGCGTGCCATGCCCATACACTGGCTGCAAATGGTGACCGACTTAAATTAAAGAAAGCAGGCGCACATGCACTGATGTAACAACCAACATGCCATGCCCGTGAACTCACTGTTTAGAGTGTAAAGAAAAATTACATAAGGGAAATACACATGGCTCTACACTTATACACTCAAGCACAAGCCAACAGCGCATAAAAAGTGTTATAATTCCTACATTGTTGACCCGATTTTGACGCTAATTCCCTCTAATTATTATTATTACCTTATATTTATTATTTACTTTCAGCTCTAATATGCCTTTGGAGGCGGCTAAAAGAACAGTAACTTTGTAAATGTCCAAATATTTATGGATCAGGCTGTATATGTGTCATGCCTGTGACCTCACCGTGAAAGTCTGAAAATATACGTCAGAGTTACACAGGGCAACGCTCACATACCACTCATGAGTCAGCCACCATACTCGCTGAGGAAGTCCACTCACGAACCCAAAGAAACATAATCACTGCGGAGAGACAGACATATACACACACCCAAAGAAGCGTACTTGCTGTGGCTCGGTGTCATGCCGTCAGCAATATTAAGGGACTTCATTAACCTCACTTTCTAATCCACAATCACTGTCAGCCGCTTCCCATTTGTTTTACCTGATTAGCATCAACAGATATATTTACTGAATAATCAAGACCAGTATTAAGCCTTAAATGATTTTGTTTAATGACTCTGTCTGTATTTTTATAGGTTTATTTATCGGAATCAAATCACACACCACTCAGTCAGATACTCATGCATGGGCAATTTAGTGTCTCCAATACCTGCATGTCTTTCAGTTATGGGAGGACACCAGAATATCTGGAGTAACCC